GGAGCCGACATGAACAAGACCACATTACCCCAGTGCTATTCAGCAGACCATCCTACAACTGCCTCAACCCCCTATCCTAGATGCCAAGCTCTACCAGGCCTCGCATCCCCAACTGTTGGGTTACAGGGCAGCACGACCCGCCCCAACTCCGGCTAGCGTCATCCTAGCAACAACTCACGGTTAGCCACTGGAATGCCTTCCACCCTCGGGGAATTCCCCAGATCTCTCTACCAGGCCTCGAACCCCCGCTTCACTCAGGTTACAGGGCAGCGCAACTAAACCCCAGCTCCGACCAGCGTCGTTCTGGCATCGGCCAGCCGTGAACCCGTGGATATAACGGTATTGGCCCGTTGTCATACGATCCGCTAAACACTACCGCAGCCATGGCTTCAGTTGTCTAGCTCCCTTCCCGCACTGGACATGCTTGACCCACCCAAACCACCTAAGCATTCCCCCGTAACCCTACTCCGGCAAGACTCGTCACAACGGAGCCCCCATCTCCGTTGCTGCTATGCCCTAATCCCATCCTACCAGCTAGCCCCATCGCCAGCAAGGTGCATCGTATCCCTCCTTCTGTTAACTCACCCCTACCTATGTGACCCCAACATGGAGGGGAGAGTTAGAGGGAAAAAAAACGGTACCCCATCCAAGCGAGTCTCTCCACATCCTGTGCGAAAAAAGATAATAGTACACTTATGACTTTAGGATTCAATCAGAGATTTCAAAATTGGGAATAGGATTTAGCAACATACTTTTACAGTCCAGAAACAGGAACATACTATTGTGATTATCGATTTAGAGATTACCGACTTTGAAGTCAGCAGTTTGGAACTGCGAATCAAGAGTCAAAGATATAATTGAACAGAAAAATTGAAATTTTGAAAAAGCAGAGAAGTACTATTGAAAGAAATTCGAAGTTTGATTAGGAATTTGTCAAACAGGAAAATCAAGTGAGAATTAGAAAAACGAAGTCAAGGATCAGGAACATCCTCTTAGAAGTTGAAATTTCAAAAAAGTAGAGAATTATTACTGAAAGAAATTCGAGGTTGATTAGGAATTTTGTCAAACAGAAAATCCAGGTAGGAACGTAGCAATCGACCTACTCAAACGTACAGACTTGTCATCATCAAGAAGAACGTGGGAATCATGATCTAATCCAAAAAAACTTTGAGATACTGTGGCGAGAACTATTGCCTATCTAACGGATCTTGACCCCTTCCTGAAAAAATGCGAATAACACGCACCAGCACCAGGCCTAACAGATTAAACCACCATTACGTTTCCCAGCTACGATTTCAAAGTTGCGGCTTGCATGCTGCCGCAACTTTCAGGGCTCGGCCACAGGAGCAAAATGGCTGGCGGCGACAGCCAAAAGGAGGCTCACGCAGGTTCTTTTTTTCTGGCGTGCAGGGCGTTTCCAGCCGTGGAGAAAAGTGCCTCGGAAGTGCTGGTGGTCTAAACCACCATATCTTTCCCAGCGATTCTGTTGCAATCCGGCCCTAAGACCACCAGTACATGGCCCCAGCCAACTCGAGAATTGAAATCAGCTCATTCCGAAAAACTTCAGGGCCCAGGGGAGGGTAGGCCTGATACTGCAATGGGGGAGGAAACGGGTAGGCCCAATTGAAAAGGGCAAATGGACTGGTGGTTTTCCTGTTGGTTCAATGTGCACATGTGGAAACACATGCACGAATGAGACAACCGTCTTGTGCCAAAAAGAGAAAAAAACAAAGGTGGAAGCTCTTGTTTTTCCTGTTCTCTATTATGTTCAATATGCACCCGGATATGGGGCTCGCCGCACAACTTTTCAAATGAAGGCATTTTCCGAAATGTGTCGGACTTCATTCGAAAGGCTGCACGTCAAAAGGAACCTCCCCCTTCGCCACGCAGACTTTCGAAACACCAAGGCCTTTCGATATGCACATTAGGGCCTCCCTCCACTACTCTCGCCATGTGCAAAACGAGAGTGTGAATCTTCCGCTTCAACATGGAAAGATACACCACCATGATTTTTGTCTTTTGTTCATGTCGAGAGTAGTGGAGGTAGGCCCTTGTAATCGCCCCCTTTTTTTTGTTGCTAATCGGTCGTTTCGAGACCGTCCTTTCCGCAAGACCACTCACGGACTTTCGAAGAAACCCTCGTGACAGGCGGGAGGATCTTGCCCCTTTGAAACGACTTTTGATGCCGGCCTGTCTGACACCTTTGCAAAGATCTTCCGAAGGACTAGTTTCGAAATCTTGCCCCTTCGAAACGATCCCGATGCTGGCCTGTCTGACACCTTTCCAAAGTTTTTCTAAAGGACTAGTTTTGAAAGCCTGTGTGGCGAAGACGCTGCGTCCATTTTGCACGTTTAGAAAGGCTGTGTGGCCAGCCCCTATGCTCTATGTACAGGCGCAGAGGATTCCCTACACCCTGCCTCTCTGACAGGGCACAAGTCATAAGAAAGAGCAGCACAAAGTAAAAAAAAAACAAGAAAGCAGAAAGAATAGATGGGGTGGACGTGATTGCCATCTAAGGGCGTACTCACACTAGCAGTATCTCAAATGTATCTGACCACAGCATTCACTAGTATGGAGGATGTAACCTTGTAAAGTGAGTGCGGTCAGAAAAAAAAAAAAAAAGGGACAAAAGGAGCATGCTGTGAGTAGGCCCTGGACTACCAGACAAGATTACGACACCAGAATGGGTACGGCTAGGTAACTTGGATGACACAGTATTACACAGGGATAATGCTGGTCCTTTTTTTTTTCCTAGTTTTTACTTTTTTGGCTAGTTTAATTATTAGCTTATGGTTAGTTACCGCAACTTATCCAACTAGTAACAACTAGAGGATGCAGTCTTTCCAAGACAAAAGGGGATTAGAAGTGAAAAATAAAAACAGCGCACAGAGTTTCAGACATGACGTACACAGAAACTACAGATGATGTGAGTAGCCCTTTTTTGTAATGGAAGCCGTATCCATCACATTTGGCTGTCAAATCAGGGCCGTGCGATCCGGCCCGTTCAGCCGGGCCCATCTGATCTAGCCCACCCCAGCTAAGGCACCCTATCAAGGTGTCTGCTCGACCCATCCAATCAGCGCCTTCAATCTTGGATGGGATGGCAAAAGATACCCTTGAAGATCCATTACATTTACCGCCTAGAGTAAATGTAGGCCTTTGAAGATCCAAACAGCTAAGGCATCCAATCATGGCGATCCAATGTGGGCCATTCGATCAGGCCCATCATCCGGGTCATCCAACCTAGGTCATCAGGTCTGGCCATCTCATCCGGGCCATCCAATCTGAGCCATCGTCATCCAATCTATGTCATCTGGTCTGGGCATCTGATCTGGGGAATTCAACCTGAGTCATCCAACTTGCGACAGCAAGCTGAAAGGGCGCCTAGAGTAATTTCAGTAAGGGCCACGCATCATAGCGATCCAGTCCCGACCATTGGATACAGGTCATCCAATCTAGGCCATCAAGCCTGCACATCTGATCTGGGCCATCCAATCTCAGCCACCACCATCAAATCTAGGCTATCAGGTGTGAGCATCAAATTTCGTGATCCAATTTGAGCTCAAGCCCCAAACAAAACGTTTCAGTAAGGGCCAGGTGTCACTGCAGCCCGAACTAGCTTGAATAGGCTGCCTTCAGTCTATAATGGAAGAATTCTCGGCAGTCACTACACTTTCAATGCACGCCGACAAATTTCCTGTGCCAGGACTTAGCCTGAATCCTTGTACTGTGCTCTGGGCCATCAGCTAGCAACCGTATACCGTTGATCCTTATCATATTCGCGATGAGTGGCTCCGCATCAAAGACTTTCTCAGCCTTTGCTAAGATGGTCATGAACCCCTCAGAAAAGAACAATGCAGAAAAGGAGAAGAAAGAGAACCGCAGCAGCAGGACAGGCACAGCAGTGTGGTTTCCTTCTAGTGCGTGTGTGTGTGTGTAGGAAGGGGGAAAGGGGGGGGGTGGAAAAGAGAGCAAGGGGGGAAGGGAGGAAGGGGGGAAGACGGGAAGAGGGACGAGGGGAAGGAGGGAAGTGGGGAAACAGGGAGAGGGCAAGGGGTGAAGGGAGGAAGAGGGAAAGAGGGGAAGCAAGAAAGTGGGGAAGTGGGAAAGTGGGGAAGTGGGGAAGTGGGGAAGTGGGGAAGTGGGATAGCAGGAAGGAGGAAGGCGGAAGGTGGAAGGGGTAAAGGGGGGAAGGGGGAAGGGGGGAAGGGGGGGAGGGGGGAAAGGGGGAAAGGGGGGAAGGGGAGAAGGGGAGAAGGGGAGAAGGGGAGAAGGGGAAAAGGGGAGGCAGTGCATCTCCATGATACAATCCCTAAAAGAAGTGGATATAACCTTTAAAGGAAGTAAGTCAAATGGGAGGTGAACTGTTTTCAAGCACCAGTAGCAGCATTCAGTGCCTCTTCATGAAGTTTGTGCATGAGAAGGAATGGGATAAAGATCAGACCCCCTGCTGGCAATTAATACCTGAATCTGAAGAACCAGAGCAGAGTGCCGCTCCCGTAACTTTGCCACCAACTCCAGCTGATACTCTCCACTAGCAAGCGCAACGTGCTTCGCTCCTGTCATACCAGGTTGTTTCCAACTGTGTTTGTTCTCCTCCTTGCCCGATGATGAAGTGAAGGCAGCATCTTTCCCTGGCCTTCCATCTCGGTCACTTCTTGCAGAACAACTGTACCTTTCTTGTCTTGATGCAGTGTCCTTTTCCTGCCTGCCTCCTCCACCTTTGGAAAACCTGCTCTCACTTGATTGTGTGCCAACTCCCTCCTTCCCACTGCCACAAGTGGACTCTTTGGAAATCAGGTGTCCTGCACCTCTATCATGAGATCTCATGGCTCCCCGTTTCTTCCTCCCTTCGCTTGTCTCCTCTGCAGCTATGTTTCCTTTCTCCTCAGACAGGAACCATCTGATGTCACGGTTATTGAGGGTAAGGGATACATCATCGTCATCCTCTGTCGTCTTGCGGCTGCTTCGCAAGTCTGTTCCAAGGCGGGTAAGAGGGGTCCAACTTCCTGGGAACTCAGAAGCAAGTGCAGTCTTCTGTGAACCGTTCATGTAAGGTCGTTGCAATTGATCTAGCGAAGGAATAGAGCAACTCTTAAGGCTTTCCTCCCCACTGGAGGAAAATGTTCCCTGTCTATATCTAGTTTTAGAGGAAAGAAATCCAGATAGAGAGGCTACATTTTTCAGAGTAGAAGAAGCTGGAGGGACATTGACATCATGTCCCTTTGGAGAGAACCAGTCACTTTGTGTTGCAGGGCTGAAACGGGATGGTTTGGCTGTGGCTGCCGATAGCCCCTCGGCAGTTGCCCCGATTGCCCCGGTCGACAATTGCTGAGTTGTTTCACCTGTCGCCAACTTCGGCTGTTCTCCTGTGGCTTGCTTTCTTTGCGAATGTGCGGAAGCCAAGGAATGGTGGCAACATTCTACCATCTTTCTTCTCCCTAGACTACTGGCACCACTCCCAAAGGAGTCTGCTTTCCCAGCCGAATGAGTTGCAGAGGGAGAAGAGGCACTCCTCCCAAGACTTCCTAGATCAGATGAATCCATGCGCCCACTCCGTGGGTGATTGGACTGCAGCTGCCGATCGTGATGGACTTCAGCAGGCATATTGTGTCTGCTCATCCGTACGTCAGATGGGGATTGTGGATATGGATTCATTTGCTGTTCCCGAGGTGATGTGTCAGTTCTGTGGGAGCGGACTCCAAATCCATTATGCCTGGAGGGCTTGCTGATATCTTCACAGGCACCTGAATTCCAATCGATGACGTAACCCTCTGACGATGATCCTGTCTCTGAGTTCAGACCAGCTGCTGCTGTGTTAGAGGCAGCAACTCTTGGAGGATGCCGTGGAACCGGTGATTCCAGACTACCCCCCTCCCTACACTTGTCAGGTTTAACCGCAGTGAAACCTTCAATTGATGGTGACCCTGTTTGTGCATGAAACATGTGTTGTTCCTGGTGGGTTTGAATTTGTAGAGGTGGGAGTACAGTGGAGGTTGCGCTGAAACGTGTTGGTGTGTACGGAGAGCCTGCTGCAGAAACCTGCAAGGAGCTCATAGCCTCCAACTCACATTGCATATCCTCCTCCCATGCAGCACGAGCACGTTGTTGCTCTTCAATACCACTTTTCAGCCCCTTGTTGTTGCCACACCCTGGGATTGAACCTCCACCATCTTGGTTTTGGCTGGCAGCTTTCATCATCTCTGCTTCAATTGCATCTAGGGAATCTAAGCGTGAGCGCAGTGACTCCAAGGCCTGCATCACACGGGCCGATTCTGGGGCTGAGATTGGGAGAGAGCTTAAAACCCGGGTCGTGCGTTCTAGCCTCGCTCGGCTTGCTCTTGACGTTGTCTGCAATTCCACAAGCTTGTTGAGTGCAACTGGATCAGAGTCAACCTTCTCTTGACTTTCCAACTGCTGAAAAACACCACTGCTACGTGGACTGCCCCCTTCTTCAGACTTAGGCGCCTTCCTAGGTAGGGTCATCTCCCAGCTCTCAACTGATGAGCCCACCTCAGTCCATCCCCTTCTGTTTGAAGACCTTTGTGATTCACCTCTCTGCTGTTGAGCTCTGTAGCTTTCATCCTTTTCCTTCCATTGACCAGATACGGCTCTCTTTTCTCTTTCTTCCTTTATTCCCTCCTTTACAACCTCATACTTGGGGACTGACAAGTAATCGCTTGCACGCTTTGATGCTTCATCAAAGCTCCAGGTTGTTAACCCTTTGTTGTTCTCCCATGGAAGGCCATGGACTGACATACCAGGCTGGAAGCGGCGTGAGGCCGATGAAGCCGATTCTCTTCTGCTGCTTCCGTCTGTGTGCTTATCTGCCAGATCATTTCTTTGATCCCTTGATTGGTTATCTGCCAGATCATTTCTTTGATCCCTTGATATTACTCTTTGGATACCAGGTTCCTTGCTTTCACCCTCCATTATCATCTTGCTTCGCTGCCCCATCGTGTCGTGCTCTTCGGGCTGGAATGCTCTCTCTCGTTTACCAAGACTGCTTATTCTTGCTTCAATTGCAGCTTCTTTTGCTTCCATCTCCTTTGCTCTCAGTGTCGCTTGCATAATGGCTGTCCTTGCCTCGGCCATCTCTCTCTCAACCCTCTCTGTTGCTCTTTGCCTCTCCCCTTCTACTTCCTTCAACTTCAGAAGAAATTTGCTCTCCCTCTTGGCAAGCATATGTGCCCTCTCCGATCTTTCACGATCTGCACTTCTTTGACTTTCCGTAAGCCTGCCTTTCTCCCTGGATGCAGTCACACAACATCTCTCAGTGATATCTGCATCGCTCAACTGTAACCACCAGGTCAACTTTGACAATGTTTGTGACATGTTCATCCTTGGCAGAGTTTGCAAAACTGCCTCGTCACTTGTTTGGAAAGAGGGATGGACGAAAGCCTGAGAAAATAATACTAATCATCATAAATCATGACTAAATTGGCTAATATGATTCTCTTGTCCTTAAGGACCTGCTTTCGCGGTACAAAGGAAAGGATTAAAAACAAAGCAGCAAACAGAGACGGCAATTCCTATCACTCCCTACTCTGATTCAGCCTAGGTCAAGAAACCTGCTCTGAATTCGGACTCAGCATCCAGGCTCCCTGCCATCTGGACATCGCTATCTCCTCCCTTTCCTCTCTGTAATAGTCATGCACCTGGCTGGAATCCAACTCTCTCTCTCTCCTGTCTCTTATACACATCTAGATGTGTATAAGAGACAGGGCTTATCACATACGCTGCACTGCCAGTTAACCAC